CCCCCCGTTTATAAGCTCCATATCGGCTTTGATAATTAGACAAGTGTGTCTGTATAGCTTAGGCTGAGAAACATTAGCTTGAGAAAAGTGCACTAGAATCTACCTCATGTGTTTGGTTAATTATATATATATATATATATATATATATATATCCTCTCATCAAGGAAAAAAAATGTAAATTAACTTTTTTGGGAAAATCGCTCGAAGTCTTTCTATTAAAATCTGGTCAAATGCCAGAGAAGATAGTTGAATATGTGTCGCATCAATCATGAAATTATTATTGATATTAACAATAATCTAATCGAAACCGTGAGATTTTTTATCCAAAAACTCATATCCCATCTAGAAACGGAGAAAGCACACGTTCTCTATGTTGTGGCGAAAACTTGATTATCAATCAACTTGAATTATTTGCACTCATTTAGTTCTCTTAATTTGGGAAAAAGTCCCCCCCCCCATTTCCATTACAAAAGGGAATAAAACTTTGAATAACTGTTTATGTTGTCAAGGGCAACCATTTAGAATGAATTAACAAATAGGATGACCTTATGGGCGGTTCCATATTCATATTTGGCGAACTGTCCAATTTCAGGAGAGTATTCAAATGATTTATTCAGATTCTTTTTACCTCTAATTAGCTATTTTTGTTCTAAACCTTCTTCTTGAAGTTAACATAAGGGGTTTCAAGTTTTCTGCCATTGTTCCCAACCCCCAACCCCCCCCCCCCAGTTCCGAATTCTGCGTCCTTTCCTTATCATTCTTTTGTCCCCTTCTTGAAACATGTTTGTTGGGGGTTCTAACGCTGGCATTTACTCCTTTTTATATTTTTGATTGGGGAGCCTATTGATTCTGGCAGTTAGCTGGCATATGGCTAGAATATCTGAGTGGTCTTCGTTTTGGATATCATCCATTTACGACATCGTTTGCCACGCTAGTTGTAAAGTGGCATTTGCTAAGGGCAAAATCTCTCAAATTGCAACGTATTACGCAACTAGCAGTTAGTTCGAGTTATTTGGAACTTGAAAACAGCCTGGGACCCGGTTTCACTGGGTACTCGATTAACAAAAAATACTCTCATCGACAATTGTGTCAACTCATGTCAATGCCTCACTTGTTAGCAATAACCCTTTAACGCGATTTCAACAAGTGCTTCTTAACATTCTGAGGATTCGCCGAGGGATATATTTGAAAAGTTTTTTTTTAAAAAAACAGAACGATGACAAATTTCGCAAAAAAGTATTGCTACGGCAGGAAGAGGCGAGTCAGTCTTCATCATGTTCCTTAGTGAGAAGTGTTACAATTAAGGCACCTTCTGGGTTCAGAAGACTTTCCAACAAGTAGCGCAAAGCAACTCAGTCGAAGTTCATCAAAATTAGGCTCCGAACTTATATTTATATCAAATGGCAGGCGTCTTGATGATTATCATTAGCTCTTTATTTGACTTTAGGCTTCACAGAGGGGAGGAGGAACATCAAAGTGAAAAAGTCGATAGGGGGGGGGGGGAAACAGAAGAGTGTTTCAAAAATGTAAGAGACAANAGGGGGGGGGGGGAAACAGAAGAGTGTTTCAAAAATGTAAGAGACAAACACAAAGGTAGAACAAAGGTGAGGTGAGTACTGTGAAATGGTGGAATATGGCATAGAGTGGGGTGATAGCAGTTTGAAGTCAGAAGTCAACTGCCAGTTAATAGACTTTTTTGCCGTTAGAGTATACGTTGCCCAGGATGCACCACGTGGAGGAAAGTCTATCGCACACTCCAGGCTCCGAACTAGTCTTGAAATAAATAAAAAAATATATTAGAGCCTTACTCTCCAATCCTTCCGAATTGCCATAGCAACAATTTTACCCTTACATGACTTGTGATATCCTGAGTATTATGGCGTCAATAAATGTACCCTGATGTACTCTCTCTCAATCTCTCCAGGGCTACCTGTGGGGCGTGGCAGGAGCACGCTTGACGAAACGATGTCGTGTGGTTCTCTTCGAAACAATAATGAGTCAGGCGAGTACCACTTTTAATGCTGTTTATTTTTTTCCTTTTCAGAGGGAATTCCAATTGTGGTTACTTTCTTACTACTTCATTTTAGGAGGTGGGATGGTTCGATCACGCCGACAATCAGCCAGGAAAATTGACAGGTTGCTTGGCCGCTGACGTGCCAACACTTCAGAATATCTCTGGACGTCGTTTTGCCTCCTTCCTGGAAGTTATCACACTCATCATTATTGCTCTCATAATCGCCTTTGTCTACAGTTGGCAAATCGCTTTAGTCGCATTGGCATTCTTCCCCGTGCTTATAGTTGTCGGTGCTTTCCAAGTAAATTTGATTATTATTACCATGGCAACACACGGAATCGTCTTGGCTGTTTACATGCTTTTACTACCTCCTTATTAATAGATGATGCAATACACCAATGATGGAAACAAAGCGAACGTCAAAGGGGCTGGATTGGCTTTTGAAAGCCTTTCAGCTGCCAAAACCATCTTCAGTCTGGGAGCTGAGGAGCACTTCGTTCGCAGATTTGAAATGGAAGCCTTGCCAACGAAAAAGTAGGAAATAGCCCTCTTCTGGTCAACTTTATTAAACGTCCTTTACTCCAACAATAAATTTTTTGGTTATTATTTCAGGAAAATCGTGCTCAGTGCTTCTATGTATGCGGTATTCAGTGCGTTGTCAAACTCTCTTTCCACTTTTCAAGTCGCCGGTGTCTTCTACGCTGGTGGTGAGCTCTTGAAAAAAGGCGAGGTCACATTCGTCGGTATCTTCAGGTAAGTTTATCTACTCAAACAGATCGTGTTTGCTTTATTTCAGTGGATGTTTTTGCATACAAGATCTTTTACGAATTCTGAAACTCATATTTTAATGCTTTAAGGGGAAAATTCATTATTTCATTATTCATAAGACCTCTAGTTGACTTCGGGCTTCACAGAGAGGAGGATGAACATCAAAGTGACAAAAATTCGACGGTGGGGACAGAATAATGATTCACAAATGTGAAAGAATCAGGCAGACACGAAGGCAGAGAAAGGGTAAGATGAGTACTGTGAAAGGGGTCGAATATCACATACAGTCGGGCCATGGTAGCTTGAAGTCAGAAGTCAATTGCCGGTTAATAGACTTTTTTTGCCGTGTCTTTATCTTTATAAATTCTCTAAGTTTTTTTATTAAATGTCAGTTAATTACTTGAATTAGGGATCGATGAATATTTTTGAACTGAAAATCAAGCTTACCCAACCAGAAATTAGCTTTTATTCCAGATAACCTTGAGGAACCAATTAAAGATGGATAATCAATCAATCATTTTGGTCATCATATGAAAAACCGTAAAGTTTCATGTAATTTATAAAATATACGTTGCCATCATCTATTAGACTGGGATTCCCATAAAAGGGTTTTTATTTAAAATAGAGAATTTTTCATTGCTTAAGCCCCCTATTTCAATTATTTCATTATTTGCATTAAATGGCACGTGTTTTGATAGCTATCATTAGCCCTTTAGTTGACTTCAGGCTTCACAGAGGGGGGAAGGAACATCAAAGGGAAAATAGTCGAGAGGGGGGGGGGGAACGGAAGAGTGTTTCGAAGTTGTAAAAGAGACAGACACAAAGGCAGAGAAAAGGTAAGGTGAGTACTGTGAAGTGGTAGAATATGACATACAGTGAGACCATTGTAGTTTGAAGTCAGGAGTCAACTCCCGGTTAATAGACTTTTTTGTCGTATGATTCTACGTTGAACAGGATGCACCACGCGGAGGAAAGTCTATTGCACATCCCATTATTTCATCATTAAACTCATCTATTTCCTTTTTTTATCTAGAGCTTACTCAGCTATCACCTTTTCTGCTCAACAGTTGGGCTTCGTAGCTGCTTTCGCACCCGATTCAAAGAAAGCCCAAGAATCCGCTGGCCGAATCTTTAAAATAATTAACCGCGCGCCAGAACTCTCCATAGATGATGGCGAATTCCCATCTAAACCCTTTGAAGGCAATGTCACTTTCAAAAACATTCATTTCCGATATCCAACGCGTAAAAAGGTCAAAGTTCTTAGAGTAAGTACTCAATTATGTAAGAAAGAGCACTTCCGCTAGTATTAATGTTGGTATAATTAATTGAACAGTGGCGCAGTAATCACCGTGTATGTCATGGGTGATGAGATCAATAGTAATCGGTCCTTCTGAATTTTTTGACGTAAAAATAATTTCAGAGGTGTTGTGCTAGGGAAGTTGTGGAAAACAGAAAGTAAGTACTATTGAATTGGAAGTAAGTAAGTATTGTTAAGCCCGGCGAACGCTTCCATAGTAACGTGTGCCAATCTCATTGGCTAATTTTCAAACACTGATAATTACCGGTCAGTTGTTCAGTTCTAGTCATAAATAAGCATTTTCGGTGTCTAAAGGCATCCGAGCTACACATTTGATTGGATTATAAGACATTGCTGACAATTATCCTCTTCCCTAGAGAAACTTTCCACACCGCTCAGTTGAGCATTCAGCCTTTAACGAGTCCTCTTTTTATTTTAATCTAAGGGCTTCGATTATTCAGTCACCAGTGGCACTAGTGTCGCTCTGGTTGGCCAGTCTGGTTGTGGAAAATCGACAGTACTCCAACTGGTTCAACGATTCTACGATCCCCTTCAGCGATCTCCAGCTACAAGTGGTCGCATACTCTTCGACAATAAAGATCTTAAGGACTTGGCTCCCACTTGGATTCGACGACAAATTGGTGTGGTATCTCAGGAACCGAATCTTCTTGATCTCACAATTGCAGAAAATATTGCCTATGGTCTGACGTACCAAGAAGAGCCTCCTTCAATGGCCCAAATCATTGAAGCAGCCAAGCAAGCGAATGCCCATGAATTCATCAGCAACCTTCCAATGGTGAGCACGTATCTAATTTTTTTCCTATTATTTAATAAAACCTTCTAAGGGTTAAGGTTCTGTTGGCTGCTCTAGGTCATATAGAATAGCATTTTGGTCAAATGGTTAATAAGTACTGTAAGTTTTGAACTTCGGGAAATGATGGAATGCTGCCAACAACTGTTTTTATATATACAAAATAAATAGGACTTTTTTCTCAACATCATTTCTGTCCCTTTATTTTCTTTATTGTTTATTCAGCAGAATAGTTACTTGAATTACAATTACTTTTTTATTGGTTGTACAATTTATTGAACAATTTCAACGAAATCTGACGTTGGGAAGAAATGGAAATAGGCAACAAAATCGATGTATGTGATCCTGTGTGGAGGGGGGGGGAGTTGGGTGAGGCGAGGGACTGACAACTATTCATAATAGCATTTATATGTTCTGGGAAAATTTTCAAATTTCTTGATAATTAGATAAAAGAAATTATGTATTTCTTATAGTTAATGGATTTGATCTGTCAAACAATCAATTTCCACATAAAGTGTGTGTGTTTCATACGTTTCAGAATATGAAAAAAAGATATGTTTACGGTATACTATTTGCGTAGAAATAAATATGCCTTTCAATACTTGATATTTTGTAAGAAGGCTTCTTTTTCTATGAAGACTTTAATATGCCAATTAAATTCTTCACTTATAGACTCTTTGACGGATAGAAATCAATTATGACTATAATTTTGCTTAATTCTGCACATACTGAATGAAGAATTTTTGACTTGAGTTCCCGCTATCCTACTATTGTCTGCTGGTAACCATGACAATATCCGCCGATCTAAGCCAAAAATGAAAAATATGTGAATATGGTCTAATTTTATTTTATAAATAAGCTTTAACTTATCAGAAATTACCATTCGGTGTTTCTAATTTATTTTTATTGATGTTATTATTATTATTTATTTATATCAAATGGCAGGCGTCTTGATGGTTATCATTAGCCCATTAGTTGCCTTCAGGCTTCACAGAGAGGAAGGAACATCAGATTGAAAAAAATCGAGAGGGGGGGGGGAACAGAAGAGTGCTTCAAAGATGTAAGAGACAAACACAAAGGTAGAACAAAGGTGTGGTGAGTACTGTGAAAATAGTCGAATATGGCATAGAGTGGGGCGATGGTAGTTTGAAGTGAGAAGTCAACTGCCAGTTAATAGACTTTTACGCCGTATGAATATACGTTGCCCAGGGTGCACCACGTGGAGGTAAGTCTATCGCACGCACCACGTTATTATTAATATAAAAGATGGTATATATCATACCATGCGGACTAGTGAAACTATAACTTCAAAGTGTTGAGATGATGATGAATTCAGTTTACTGGTATTGGAATAATTACATTTACTCCACATTGGTTGAAGAATATATGTTGCTGTCTTTGCAGCCCAATGGTGAAGTCCTTCTCCTTAAGTCTTAACCACAAGATTTCCGAGAGGTGTACTTCCTGTGAACGAGTTCTTCACATGTATTGGCTCTACATGAGCTTTATCAGAATAGAGTCCTCTTGTAGAATTAAAGGAAGACTAAAATCTCAGAATCAGATACTCTTTGTGATGCTATACGAAGTCCAAAATAGAACAGCGGCTCTATGTTGCTCTCGAGAGCGCTGTATTTTTTATGACCAAAAAATTCAGTTGTTTCTTTGATTATTGCAGGGGTATGATACTGCAGTGGGTCCACGTGGATCTCGTTTGTCAGGGGGTCAGAAACAACGAATTGCCATAGCTCGGGCCTTGATTCGAAACCCACGTCTATTAGTGTTGGACGAAGCCACAGCAGCCCTGGACAATGAAAGTGAACGCATTGTTCAAGCCGCCTTAGACGAGGCAATGCAACGTGGTGGTCGAACTACCCTGGTTGTTGCGCATCGTCTCACCACTGTGGAGAACTGTGATAGCATTGTTGTGCTTGAAAACGGACGTTGTGTGGAAAGTGGAAGTCCAGCGGCTTTAATGGAAGCCAAAGGCGCCTACTACTCACTACACAACACAGACGCTAAAACAAAAATTCACTAGCACCGATTCCATACACTACTGAATTACTTTCCTTTTTTAAGTATTTTATTAAATATTTTGATCAATAAAATTCTATTAATTCTCCTGTGGCATATGTGTCTATAAGGGTTGACTACTATTGCAATACACTAACTTGGAAGGTGGGGAAGGGGTGAGATGGGGGGAGTGAGCAGTAGTTCATTGATATTTAACTGTTTAATAAGTGTAACTGATCGTTTATCCATTGAGTAGGCACAGCCTACACCTGGTCATCTCAACTCTCACAGTCGCCTGATTTCTCCGATGTGGAACCCCAAGGAAGTGAAATCAAAGGGGTAAGACCGATCCTTCCAATAAAACTACAAAAACAGCTAGTTAACGTCGCACGTCACAGACAAGCGGTTGCCAATGACATTCGACATTCGTAGAAGTGGCCATCTATTTGGTGAATGTCGTGGGAAATAAATAAAGTTAGGCTCTGACACTCCGTCGGTGTTCTTAGACTTTTTTGTTCATTTCGAAAACAACAGAGAGATAATTTGGCCAGCACGACTTGTAGCTCCGGCTGTTTTAATGTAGTATTGGTAATGAAGAGTATGCCGTCTGTTTGTAAAATTTCGATTTACTAGTAATCAACTTCATTGACTGTACCGGAGCGAAGCGGCATTTTCAAATAACTGGCGACCTACTTTATGATTATTTTTATAAGAATTTTTACTGTTGCAACTATATTTCTTTCTTAAAAAGGAGAGAATTAACTCCTTTAAAGTGTTGTCAATTTTTGACAAATGGATGACTTGAAGAAGATCAAAAGTAAAATGCGCCGATCGAATTATAGTTAGCTCTCTCTCTTTTGATATCAGTACCCTGGGAGCAAAATAACAATAAAGGTACACTTGACTTACATACCCCCCACACACAGAACTAAGTTCTGGCAAGATACAATATGCCTTCCCTATGAAATGTGTGTGTGTGTGTGTTAAATTTGGCAAACCCATCAGATTCGAATTCCGATGCGACTAATTGTCTATTACTTAGCTTTCCTTTGACCACAGAAGTCTCAGACTCCGTTGCTCTTTTCCGAATCGTGGCGGTTCAAGAGCAATGGACAACGACCGAAACAAGTTATTCTGTTCCATGAATCAAGTGGATTCCAGGGGTCCATTCTCATGGTTGAGTCTGGCTCTACAGAATAATATTTGATTTGTTTTCCGGGTATGCTAAATGTGCTCCCCAAACCCCTTTCCAATGACTTGCCGTCAAAAATGGATGTACCAAAAGTTCATTTAATTCATGTCTGCGTTCGTGTCCACATAATAAAAAAATAGAAAAAATTCTCTTTTGTTATGTGATAATGTTCTTTACATGGGGTGTGCGATAGACTTACCTCCACATGGTGCATCCTGGGCAACGTATTCTCATACGGCAAAAAAGTCTATTAACCGGCAGTTGACTTCTGGCTTCAAACTATCATGACCCTACTGTATGTCATATTCAAATACTTTCACAGTACTCACCTTACCTTTTTTCTACCTTTGTGTCTGTCTCTTTTACATCTTTGAAGCACTGTTCTGTTC